AATAAACTGTGGTATATTCAAACAAGGGAATAATATACAAAAATACAAATAAAAAACTACAGCTGCATGCAACATCATGGATATCAAAAAACATAACATCGAACAAAAAAAAAAGTTCCCCCCCAAAATACATACTATTTGATTTCATTTATATCAAGTTCAAAATGGGCAAAACTAATCTATGATGTTAGACATCAGGACAGTCATTCACTTTGGAAAAGGATGGTATAGTGATATGGTGGGGGTTTTGAGATGCTATTTCTATTTCTTGACCTGAGTTCTGGTAACATTAGTGTATTCACTTTACAGTAATTCATCCAGTTGTACAATTATGATTTGTGACCTTTTCTGTATGTATGTTACTCTTCAATAGAAAAGTAGGGGAAAATGAAATAAAGAGCTAAGTGATGGGTATTTATAGACTAGTCAGATAAAACTGGTCCTCTATGAGGGCCACCCTGCAGGCAACGCAAATGGTTTCTCTTGGTTATGTTCTTGGGGATTAAAGGACTTCAGAAGTTCTCTAGTATAGAGATCTTCTCTATAACGTAATCACAGATAAACTACAAGTTATTTTTCACAAGATCTAAGAGAGAAAGAAAGATGAGACCTACATGCAAATAAAACAAAACATCAAATAATACATTACAAAAAACTTTTTGCACCATCATAGAGGTAATGTAGTTAGGGCTTTTCTCCATTTTACTATCTAATGATTCTAGAAACCAGTGAGACATTGCCAGTGGAACTATTTACTCACCTAAGCACAGTTGACAATTCACAGGCTTATCAAGGCCTGAGGAAAACAGGCCTGTTACAAATGTCTTTGTTTTACATGAACATCTCTAAAGGCCCCAAATAATAATTCAAGCCAACAAGTGTTTAAGTACCCTAACTATAATCAGCACTGTGTACCACGTATTGTGGAAAAAGACAAAAAGAAAGGCAGATTTCCAAGGAGCTCTAATATAAAGATACAAGTTTTATTAAACACAATAACAGCAATAACTGGAGAATGATTCCAAGACAGGATATGGTGGGTGGGTTGCAGGAGTAGAATCGGTAAGAGAGAAAATGGGATAGGTATAATGCAGCCAGTTGATCAAAAGCCTTGAATGTCACACTGAAAAAATCTAGATTTAAACCTATAGAAAATGATCTTATCTGGATCCCACTCTCCTAAAAAATTCTTGGATTTAGCGATTCCCAGTCATTTTCTTGATCAACAGGCCTTAATAATTAACATCAAATCTAGATATACTAATGTCCTATCTAGTTAAACCAGAGATGTTTTGTGCAAAGTTAACATTGACTTCTATGACATCACCTCAAATAATTAGGGACATATTCCAAATATTGCTAACAGTCCCCAATAAACCCTTATAAGTCTACACAAACATATTTTTCTAAACACTTAAACCTTAGAGTTTCAGTTAGAGTATCTCTTGGGGAAATCATCTGAATGAGACACTACCTTTATCTGCCTCCCCCACAAAATAATCTTTCAAGCATTAAAAGATATCTAATACTTAATATAGTGGCTGACTCATAGCAGGCTTTCTGTTTATTGAACTAGATTGTTAAATTACACCAGTCTATTAACCTTACTCATCTCTCTCATGGTTTAGTAGACTTTGACCATCACCCTCTCTCAACCTCTCTCTCCAGACTGAAAAAACAACTAGAAAGTCCCTCCAACCTTTTGATCAATTTAATTTGTTTTCTGGGGATTTGTATCAGCTGTTAAGTTTTTCTTGATGAGCAGCCACCAGAATCACCTATATGATTGTGAATGCAAATCCACTTTTGGTCTTTTATATGGAAAAGATAAGAGTTTTGTTTCATCATTGTTTTCAACACCCTTCCTGATAATGCCCACCATATTCTCGGCTTTGAGGACCACAATCACAACTGGGTCAACTTCTTCATAGACAGATAAACAGTGATTTTTATTTTAATCTTTTTTACTCTAACAATAATATTGTGTATTGTCTAACTCAGAGACTGATGAGATGTATTTAGCTCCTGAGATCATCTCCAATGAGCATCCAGATAAACCTACAGATACTTAGCTACTCCAGCTGAAGAAGACAGGTATGATTCCAGAAGGTCCAAAGTGACCCTTTCATTTTTTATCATGAGCAACTGTGCCCCCACTGGGAAGGCTTTCCTAATAAGTCCCCAGGAGAACTTTGCTGATCTCTCTGCTATGCATCCTGACTGCCCTAATTTCCTTCTGTATTCTGTTTTTAAAGTTTTTGAATTGAGGGATGACATACATACATCTTCAGTGATTTCTAGATCCCTTTCTTGAGTCATAACTGAGCCCATCATCTCATAAGCATGAATAGGTTTGCATGACCTTATACAATGAAGTGCCTCTGACTATTCTGCCCACTTGGTCTCATGAGATCTTCCTGCAATTTATTCTCATCAGTTTGCCTTCACTCCTTGCAGATAAACTGGTGAGAAACCTGAATGTTCTGCTCATTGAAGGGTGTATATTTTTATCTTTTTTCCTCTCCATCTAAGAGCTGCTGTAACCGCAGCTGTTTGTGTTGAAAACTAAAATATAAAAATATGACCTACGTGGCCAAATCCCACAGGTTGTTTACTTCCTTATTTATGAATCAGATTCTGTCAGCACAACTTAGAATCTTGACTGCCAGCAATACTGCAATTAAATGTCCTTGCAAAGCCAGCAGAGGGTGCACCAGGGCACTGGAAATTTTACCTAAGATGTAGCTGTATTAATTTAATAGCCAATCAATGTTTCCTTTTTTTTTTTCTTTTCTTGGTATACTAAAACTAACACCCTCAAGGAAACTTATGTTGAATCTGGGCTAAAATTCCTTCAAAGCATACTCGAATTCTCCTGAAAGTGAAGTTCAGGAAGAATAAGGAATACATGGTTAAACACAGTCTGGCCAAAATGTAGGTAGAGTAGAAGAAAATGATGCAGATCGGAGCCCTCTCCTTTGCAAAAATTCCATAGCTCTACCCAGCTACCAGACAAAAGGCTCTAGGAAGTAGTATATTATAGGGGAATGGGCACTGAACTGGGAGTAAAGAGACCAACTTCCATTCTAATTTTGATCAGAGTTGTATGACCTTGGACAAGTCATTTCCCCCATAGGAACTATGTGTTCTCCAAGGGGAATGATCAAATGGATTCATGGCCCCTCATAACTCTAAAAAACTCTGACTCCAATTGATGTCAGCAAATGTAAAAAGCCAGTGTGCTTGTTACTACTTCTCCAAAAGATTAAAACGGAAAAAATAAAGGACAGAAGATAAGGTGCTGTATTTAAACCTAGACAGAACTATTTGAAGCACCACGCAAAGGCAACTAAATGCCATTACAGACCCTATGAGAATCCCACACCATCACAGGAGCCCCAGAATACAGCTGTTCTACTAATCCTCAGCCTACAAACAGGGGTCTGTCCATTCTGAATGCCAAAAGGCCTTGCCACCATTTGACTAAGGAAGTTCAATTCCTTCATCTTTTCACAGAAAACCAATGTTCAGCTGCTAAGTATTTCTACTGGGCATAGTCGCGGGGCAGGGGCGAGGGTTTGTTGTTGGGAGGTGGGTAGATAAAGGGAACCAGAATCCTAGTTAATTATCATTTAGCTACTGTGTTTAAAGTTTCAAGTATGAGAAGCATGTCTACTGATTCTCTTTGATAAGCTGTTATATAAGTTGAAGTGTGCTAGCAAAACATTTTAAGGCTCAGGACAACCTTCCAACGCAAAATGTAGAAACTGTGTCCGCCCTAATATTAAAGCATTATCATGAATGTGACACCAACTTTGGATGGGTGGTCAAAGTAGCACGAATAATGTTTACAGAGTATGACAACGACTCTGGATGTGGTAATAAATATAGAAGGCCTGGGTCACTCACCTCAAGGAACTTATTTGTACAACTTGCCCTCTTCCCCAAGAGGAACAAATTGACTGTTATTCTTTAACCACCTCAAAAGGATCCTTGGCTGCTTCTCTTAAGTTTTACGTGAGACAAAATATGGCAAACAAGAGAATACTTAGTTTAAGGGCACTAAATTTCCTTAAATAAAGAGCTAGAAAAAGTAGAAAACAAACACCAAAGCTAACAGTTTGCTAACCAAGGCACAAACACCATAAAGATTGTATTAAAAAACAAAAGAAACAAAAAACAAACCAAAACAAACAAACAAAAAAACTGGGAGACTATTCTTGAGTCATTATTCCATCAGTAGATTCCTGCTCACAAGCAAGCAGGAGTGAAGACACTTCACACCAACCCTCCCCACCCCACTCCCCAAAAAAGAGTCAGAACCGGCATGCAAAGGGTGAGTTTTATTCCAAAGATTTTTTAAATTGCTGTTTCAGAAGTTGTCTAGCAAGACGGCATATTTCTACCAGAATTCCTCAGGGGCGCTGATCCTCACTAGAACACCGAGGACAATCCGTCTCAAATTGCAGGTAAGTGTGAACAAGCCCACGATCTGGTCAGTGCACCAGCACCCCGGCGCAGAAAACACGGTTCAAAGTTGTTTCAACGGGCGTGGAGCAGTTATTACAGCTGTTTACAGCTCCAGCTCCAAAAGAGAGTCTGCTAGTGCTGGCATCAGCTCTGGACACGAAAAAACAAGCACCGCGGGCGCAGAATCTCACCGGGAGCAGAAGGGCCAGGCTGCTGCCGTTAGTCAGCCAGGGGGGCAGCGCCCGCACCTTCGCGCCGCGGCCCGGCCGGGAGCGCCGCCAACTTTTCCCGAGGCAGCCGGAGCTGGGGGCGGCGGGCGCCGGCCAGAGTTCCCAAGTCCGGAGGTCCTGAGAGAGCCAGGGTGAGCTGGGCCAGGGACCGAGGACAACCTGCCCCGGGGCGACCTCTCCCCAGCTCGTCCGCCCCCTCCCCGATCCCGCCGTCGAACTCGGCTCGAGGTGGCAAAGTCCTCCCCGGGCCCCCGCCCTGCGCACATGGGGAGGGGGGCCTGCCCCTCCAGAGTGACTCACCTGGTGCCCGTCCTGGGCGTCTGGGGGGAGCGTAGCTTCTCCCCGTTCCAGCAGCTGCTGCTGCGGGGATGGCTGCCCGAAGTGGCGGGTGATGGAACCTTCGGGGTCGAGGCCACCGGGGCTGCTCAGGGTGCCCGAGGTGCCGAGGTTACCGGGACCGCCAAGGCTGGACTCGGCTCCCCGCTCCCGCCGCAACTCGGAGCGCAACTCTAGGTAGCAGCACAACGTCAGCAGGTGGAGGGCCAGCGAGAGGCCAAAAAAACCCAGGAAGAGCCGGCAGCTGTTCCCTTCGCCAGCCCGGGCAGGGGCCCCGCGACAACCGCAGCCCTGGCTCCCGCGCTCCCTCGGCGCTGCCGCGGGCTGGAGTTCCCTGCGCTCCACCTCGGGGTAGCCCATGGCCTCCGGAGACACCCACTCTCTGAGGCCCGGGAGCCGCCGCGTCTGCCTCAGCCCTTCGCGATCCCTGACAGGCGGCTACTGTCCTGCCATCGGCTGGGGACTGCAGGGACCCGTTCCTGCGCGACGGAGGCTGGGCGGGACCGAGCAGGGAGCAGCCGCAAGTGCAGCTCCACTCCGAGGGGTGGAAAAGGGAGGAGGAGGGGCGGGAGACACGGGCGGCTCGGTCCCGCGGAGGGAATGAGGGAGGAGGCCCCGGCCGACCCCGCCCCGTGCCTCAAGCGGCTGCCGGGACGCCCAACCACCGAGCCCGCCAAGCCTTGGCGCCCCGCCCCATGCCGTTCCACCCGGGGCCTCCAGCTGCGGGGCGGGGTCTGGGGGCGTGTGGGTGCGCCTCTGCCCCGTGGCCCCACCCAGCTCTTCTCGCTCGCCCCGTTCCAGTTGGTGATTGCGGCTGTCGTTCATCCTTGGACTCCGCCCCAATTTAACCCTTGAGCTCCAGTACGGGATCGGGGGCGAGGAAAGGGGGAAGAGGAGGGAAGGAGGGGGAGGCTGAGAAGAATTGGGAAACCTGGGAAGGAAAGTAGAGCAAAGAAAAGGAGGCGGAAACTAGTATTAATAGAAATGTTTGCAATTAACTGCAGTTGTTAATAACATCATCCAGTACTTATCTGTTGCTTTCAATCTTCAAAGCGTTTAACAGACGTCAAACTAATTAAAACAGTTTTGGGTTTGGAGTGAAACCATGCCTGCTGGGTTTGCAATCCAATGGCGCGCCAAAAGAAAAGGAGACCCAGTAGCCTGAGAGCCAAAGGGAGTGAGAATGAGGTGGGACTGAGACAGTCCCACTCCTGGAGTGAGTCTGGGGCCTCAGTCTAAGTGACGAAGAAGTCCATCTGTGCCAGGTGGAACTGAAGTGATGCTGCCTCACGCAGGATAAAACAGTCCCCTAGGATTTCTTGGTATATTAATTAATTCAAAGTATTGATCCCTTTACATGTAGAAATTGCTGTTCGAGAGAATCTACAGCCAGTGTAGTTTTCTTCTTCCACCGCAGCGGAGTTTTGAATGGAGAACAAGTGCCTTCAATGAGCAAATGGGGAAACTGAGGGCCAGAATAAGGTGGATTTTTACAAGGGTGGTCCACAGAATGGCCAGACAGTATTGGCATCTCTATTTGCAGACAACTGTTCTAGCCTCTCCACCCCTCTCCTCCTCTCCCTGGAGTAGTCCCTGGGGGAAGTTCAACAACTCAGCCAAATGTTCCAGATGGACACTGCTGCAACTGCAGCATCTTCAACCCTCTGAAAAGGGTTCAGAGCAAAACAACAAACAAAAAATGTGGCAAATGTCAGAACAATAGACCCTGAAATGAAAGATGGAAAGGATTAGTTGAGTCGAAATTAACAAGAGTTACTAGTCCGAGATTATAGAGAGCTAAATGACCATAGCAGGGGAAATATGTATGCTTCTTGGTCACTATGCACTCCCATTCCCATGTTATGAATAATTAGCAGTTTTATTGACTTGAAAAGGGTAGGCCTAAGACCTAGGCTGGTGAAAAAGAAGAAAAATAGGGGGAAATAGAAAAGAAGAGAAACAACAAAATGAAAGCAAAGCATATGGTGGGGAGGTCAGTCCAAAGATTACAGAGGTCATAAACCTTAAATATATTAGCCACAGCCAATTTTTCTTTCAGACACTTTGGGAATGGCCTCAGTGCTTCAGAAACATCTTTGTGTCTCCTCATTAGCCCTTACGTATGAACTATAAAGTTTGCAAAGAATATCATCATCATGCAAATAAGAAAATAAAAAGGGGCACTTAGCTAATCTCAAATTCTGCTTACTCAATCAAGGAATTCTAGATGCTGGCTGGAGGAACTGCCAGGCTGATTTAACTTAATTATCACAGCCCAGGATTATTAGAAAGAATGCTAGACTAGGAGTCAGTAGAACTGACCGTGCCACTGGTTTGCTGGGTCATTCTGAGAAAGTCATTGCTTTTGAGGACCTTAGTTTCTCCAACTGTAAAATGAGGAGTTTGAACTTAAACAGCTATAATATTGTGTTTTATCTGTGTTATCACTGACTGTTTTGACTTGGTTGCATAAAGGGTTCAAAGAGGCTGCCTCTTCTTCCCCTAAAGTGAAAAGGGAACAAATAACAGCCACTCCTGGGAGTGGTGGTGGTGTTCAGGGGCCTTACTAGTCTCAGCTTACCATGTTCTACCAGGCTTTTCACAGCTTGACTGAAGACCCTGGGTTGCACCATTGCCTTCAGAAGTCCTGCAAATTGCATTTGATCTGGGACCTCACTTTGGTTCCCAAGAGGAAGAACATATGGCTTAATATGAAGTAGAAATATTGGAATGGGGTAATCCAGTGAGGAATGTACATGGTTAGATGTTTTTGTTGTTGTTGTTGTTTATAAATTTATTTATTTTTGGCTGCGTCGGGTCTTCGTTGCTGCGCACGGGCTTTCCTCCAGTTGCAGTGAGCAGGGGGCTACTCTTCGTTGCGGCGCGCAGTCCTATCACGGTGGCTTCTCTTGTTGCAGAGCACCGGCTCTAGGCACGTGGACTCAGTAGTTGTGGCACGGGCTCTAGAGCGCAGGCTCAGCAGTTGTGGCACTCAGGCTTAGCTGTTCTGCAGCATGTGGGATCTTCCCGGACCAGGGCTTGAACCCGTGACCCTTGCATTGGCAGGCGGATTCCCAACCATTGCACCACCGGGGAAGCCCTACATGGTTAGTTTTAAAAAGTATTTTGAAGTGTTAATTCAGTTCGCTTCTATGCTTCCATAAGTACCCCATCCTCTACAGCACACGTCTCAAAATGACAGCCTGCAGGTTACATCCAGCCAACAGATGTGTTGTGTTTGGTGCAGTGTTGGCTAAAATTTTGGATAAAAATAATAATTGCCAGGATCCAGAAATCAGGAGATTTCACATAAAAAATCCCTATTTCTTTAAAGCATGCTAACACTGGATCCACATTCCCATATGGCTACAGTCAGCTAGAATTGCCCCCTTGAGACAAGCATGAGCAATCAAGTTCCACACAGTCATCCCCACCTCCTTCCTTTAGTCTCCATTACTGTCCTTGTTACCCATTTCCCTTACCTGTCTGGCCCCATGTACTCTAGGAGACAAGATATCAGCTCCTTAGCATGACCTATAAACTGCCCTTCCAACCTCATCTTCTGCCACCCTACAAGGAACCCATACTCCCACAATCCTAAAGTCACTGACACTTCTCACACTTGTGTGTCTTTGCACAAGCTGGTTTCTTTGCCAGGAATGC